AAACCAAAATGATGAGTTCAATAACTATCTATGGTACAAAGGGAATATTTGTTAAAAGGATTTACTATTTCAAATGGTGGATGAGATAACTGAGGTAGTGTAGTATGTGATATTCTTGAGGGAGGAAGAGTGGAAGAGAAGCTGACAGAGATTGGCTGTTGGTTGGAGAAAAGTCGGAAACAAAATCCAAGAAAATAGAAAAGAGAGAGAAAGAATACAAACAAAGACAAAAAATTAAAGATATAAGAATACAAAAAAAAGCAAAACACTATTCATATATCATTGTCCTCCAAACACTGATGCATAAAAACATCCTGTTCCAAATATGGTAGAGATATTAGCAAATTGGAAAATAAAATAAAATAAATCTTGCTGGAAAGTCAAACTGTCTCTATCAGTGTTCAACATTTTCTCAGCCCTGTCTCTGACATCTCTCGGGATCACCAGGCCCAGATCAGCCCTCGTAGACCTAGTTACTATCCCACCAATCTGGGCTTCACATATCTCAGGCTCGGCTACGCTGCAGTTCCAAGATCTCAATGCTGCTCCTACTTGCAAAGAGACCACAGGGATACACTAATGCAAAGGAGCAACCCTGAGATGCAGCAGCAAGACAAGGGCCCCCAGAACTCTCAGCAGTAGGACTTCAGGCTCCTCCAAATCCTTAGGTACCTCCACACTGGACCTGCAGGTCCCAGCTGGAGTCCCCAGACAGAGGCTCTTGTGGTAATAAACCTGCTGACACCCAGGCCCCAGGCCTTGGCTGGTGTCCCAAAATGGGTGCAGCTACATGTGACCAAAACCTGGAGTCTCCCCCCAAAGCAGTCCTCTAGGCCATGGTAGCAGCAGTAGTGGTGGTGGTTGTTGGCAGCAGGCAGTGTGTCAGCAATAGTGGTGGCTGCAGCAGTAGCTGCAACTGCAGCTGTGGGGACAGTGTCACCAGTTGATCTTTGGGGATCAGCAGCAGTGTCAGCTTCAGCTGCATCTGGGGCAGCGGTTTCTTCTGTGGCAGCAGCATCAGAAAGAAGACCGCCAGGTGATCTCAGGCCGGCAGCAGCGGAATCAGAGGCAGCAGCAATGGCAGTAGTGGTGCAGGTGGCGGTTGAATGATAGGGGACTTCTGGTTCAGCAGCAGCAGCATGGAGGTCATGAGGGAATTCGCATCAAGGTAACTGAGGTTGTACCCAGAGAAGAGGCCTCCGGGCATGGCAGTGGCATCTGTGGTATGACATCTGCCTTAGCCTGGATCTTTTGGAGTTACATCACTACATCCAGGATATCCAAAAAAGCAAAAATCATTTTTTTTTTGGATCCTACCTCTCTAGCTGATCAAATACCTGAACAAGAATCTAGGATTTTAAAATAACAGCTCATTATTTGCAAAGTAAAAAGGGGGATATGTGGGGGCCATGCCTGAGCTATTTGAATAGCCTCAACTTGGCCTTGGAGTGTAAGAGAAGTATAAGAATTGGAATTTCCTAAACCTCAGTAGCAGAATCTCTATTCCCCAGTGACAGCAGCCTCCCAACCACAGTTGTATAGGTCTCTCCACACATAGTGGTCTCAGACTTTCCACTTCTGTCTGAGGGGATTCAGACTGCATTGTCTAAGGAAAAAGAAATGCCACTCCTGAGACTATTGCCCTGCAAGACATTTTCTTTTCCAGTGTGGAAGCTGACCCTTAAGGTCTAATAGCTGCCTGCCCTTGATTTGAAAACTTATGTCTGTGTTGTGTGATTTTTCGCTGCCTTCTTCTTAGTTTAATGTTTCAGCCAGTCCATTTAAACCCCGTCTGTCTCATCTGTGAGGGTCACAGGTGAGAGATAGCTTTTCTCTCCTTTCCCTTCATCAAGTTTCTGTGTTTGAGAATCCATTGCTCACATTTCACAAGTTCCCAACCACACTGCTCTAGGTCTGCATGTGGTGTGCTCAGGATATGATTGACTTCTAACCCTCACAAGCTAGTGGTTTCCTTTGTTTGCTTGGTTGAGCTCAGGACGGGGAGCCTTTATCTGCAGACAGCATTGGGAAAAGATCTTACTGAGTGTCCAGATTCCAAATCTATTGGTCTCCCTGGATCCCCATTTAGCCACTGGCTTAAAAGGGGGGTAGGGTGATAACTAGGATGATCAATTTTAATTATTTACCATCTGAGTAGGCTATCAAGAGAAGAGACATGCAGGAAGGATGCATTCTAAAGCCTAGCAATTCTCTTCCCCTCTCCCACCTCATAACCTCCACAGTCTCAGCTACCCTCTCTGAGGCAGACTAATTCTTTCCTCCGATCATCATTGGAGGGGCTTCCTCCCTTCTGCCCACCTAGTCTCACTCAGGGGACACTTTCCATCCTCCTACCCACACCTACAACATAAAGGTTCAGACTTTCCCCTCAGCCACTCCTAGTGACACACCTCTTTCTTCTCTGTTTAAAACTTCTTCTGCTCTATTATGTAATACACACCTTCCCATTAAAAAGCATTTGGAAAACGAACATAAAAATAAAAAAAAAAATCCAAGCCACCTAAACTTTCATTCTTCTCAATCAGCATTGGTATTTTGATGTATTTCCTTCCAAGTTTTTCTATGCATATGTGTCTTTTGGACATACTTGCCATCATACAGCACATTGAATTTTACACTCTACTTTCACTTGTTATTTCACAACACTTTCTAGGTTTATAACCTGTTTGTGTTCACTTAACCTTTGCCTGTGGCCTGACTCCAATTTGTTTCCAGAATTTTATTAATGCAAATAGTGACACAGTGCATATTTTTGTAAGTGAATTTTATAATGTCTTTTTCCCTATAATTTTGCATTTGTTTGTTTTGTTATAATGCCTTTAAAAAAAGACAATAAAGGATGCTAATCACTGAGGTCTATGACAATAGACCTCAGTAAGGGAGAGAAATAGGCCTCAATTGCCCTCTCACTATGCTTTTTGAGACAGATAATTCTCAATCCAATTTTTGCTCAATGAACCACCACTGTGTTTAAATTCTTTCAACACTCTGAGGGAAGCGAATTCCCACTTTCCCTCTTCCTTTTGCTCCTCTTCACTATAAATCAGATACTTTTCTTTCAAGGACAGATTCTCTATTTTAGTGCTTCCATTTCTTATCCTAAGTTGCTTTTAGGAAGTTGTAACCATTTTTATGAACTATTCCCTTAATTATCATGTTCCGTGTATGAATTTCCATGTAGGAAACAAGTGTGCCAAGTGCTTACACTTGTTTCATATAATCCCCACAGTGAAAGAAAGCAGAGGCTCACAGAACCCAAGTCACTGGCCAGAGTCACTGTGCTAGTGGGGGAATCTGAATCCAGGCTTACTTCCAAAGCTATTATCCTTTCCCCATTCTGCACTGACAAGAGGCACCCATCTCCCTCAAACTTTGAGCCCCGGCTTCCCACCTCCTCTGCAGAAGTAGATGGTGGTGGAGTGGGCACTTCTTTTTTTTTTCCTCCTAGTCTTGGTGTTACACTGAAGTCTAAAACTTTAGACAAGTCTCTTTATTTCTCTTGGTTTCTATTTCACTTTCTGTTGTTGGACACAAGTACCTCAGATGAGCTCACCTCATGGGAGTCTTATGAAGACCTAGGGAACACATTTATATGAAAGAATCTGGCCTTTAGTAAAGGACTGTGGGGCTAGAGTGGGGGTAAATTGGGGACAGTGAGGAGGTCCTAGGACACTTATCTATTATTGGGAGGTTTGGGTAGGTGCATCCTGGTAAGATCTGAACCATGCCCCCCGCCCCCAGGAGAGTCAGGCAAACACCTGAGCTCTGGTTGGGTGAGGCTTCATTCAGAGAGATTATATGACCTCAGTTTAGGGACACTGGAAATTAATTTGTGACTTTTCTTTTTTGGTCAGTTAGACTATTGGGTCCTGCCACATCCTGCGTGGGTGGTAGAAGTGAAGGTTCCTTTTGGTGGAGTGGGCTGCCTGTAGGACAAAAGCTAAGAAAGAGAAAAATGGTGAAAAAAACCCACAGGACACAAAAAGTGATTTTAAAAAGTGGTGGCAGGACCGACCAGCCAATCTTAGGGATTGAGCTTCCATGCTGAAAAGATACCAGCAAAAGCAAGATGGAGCCCGTGCTTGTTTTATTTATACGGGGGGAACATCAAAGATTTCCATGGAATGTTCTTTGCCAAATAAGGGAGGAGGTGGCTGTCCAGTTTACAACAGGTTATGCCCAACTCTGGAGCTACTGGAGCGGTCTCCCTAGTAGAGTGGAGATAGGGGTCATGTGCATTGGGCAATTCATTGAGTGACAGGAGCCACAAAGTAGTTCATAATGCCAAACCTAAATCTCCCTGGCTCCAGACTGAGGGAAGGCCTTCAAGTCATTCAGGGGTGGCTCCCTGCAATTCTTGCCTGAAGATACATCTGGCTTTGGCATGAAGAGGAGCAATGATGTAGCTTGGCAAACAGCAAATAACAATTTTTATTAGTCTTAGACTGACATGACATAGTACTTTCTTTTTTTAAGATTAAAAAAATTTTTTTTGTAGTTGTAGATGGACAGCATGCCTTTATTTTATTTGTTTATTTTCATGTGGTGCTGAGGATCGAACTCGGTGCCTTACACATGCTAGGCAAGCGCTCTGCCTCTGAGCTACAGCCACAGCCCTTTATTTAACATTTTGACATTTTGATCATTAATTTTTGAACTGTTTTTGATCTTCAAAATGATTGTAGTAAAATACCATTTATCTTAATGCAAAATATTTTGGTATGCACCCTTCCCCTCTGCCCCCCCCCTAAGTTTTACGCTTTAGTGTCTCACCTCATTTCAGGTCCTGAGGATGTGGCACATTAACATAGCTGCGGTAACATCAGTGTGGGTAACACAAGTACCCTGTTGGTATTGGAAAAGTTTAAAGTCTTGGCTTCCATCTTAGCCTTATCATAAATAATTCTTCTTTCCAAGTGCTGCTATCCACCCACTCCCCGCCCGCCCCCCACTGTTGTAAGAATTTGAAAAAACACCCCTTCCTCAAAGCATGATTTTATTAAAAGGGACACTCCCCACCATTCCCCCAGAAAATTGTAGCAATAAATACAGCATTTATCATGCTATGGTTTGGGCAATCCACACCTGCCCAGCTCTGGGTGGGCCTAGCTGAGTCCCTCATGGTGGTGATGGGTTAGTTTCCACACCTACTCCTATTTTTAACTTTGATTTCCTCTCACATCAGCCTGAGTTCATTCTCTTTATTTTTTTTTCTTGCAAGTTTATTTTCTCTTAACTTGGCCATCTTATATTCAAACGTTTTCCCTCCCAGATGTTTACTCTTTTCACAAATTTAAATACACAATTTGTCCACCTTATTTCATATCCCAGCCCTGGGCCCCAGTTCCCTTCCTAGTGTCTCCATTCAAAACATGTATCAGGAACACATCAAGTGCAGTCCTACTTTTCACCCTCCCCAAGTCTTTACCATTTCACTAAAAAGAAGGTGAGTTCTATAGGGGTAGGAGATCATGTCTGACTTATTTGTGAAAGTGACCTAGCAAAGCTTATTAATAAATATTGAAACACACTTTGAAAGTTTACAAGTAATTCATACACCAGGCCCCACATCCCAACTCTAGGTGTCATACTAGACCCAAAATGTGCCTGTAGAGTTTTTGCACCGAGATAGGCTCCTGTATAGACCTTAACAAGGCCTAGGCTTTTATTTGCAGCGTAGGAGTACAAATTAAGCCAGGCCATGGTGGGGTGGTGGTAGGAGTTCTGAGAGTAGAGGGGTGTTCTTGTTCTTGCCCATGCACAATTCTGTGTCCTTGTGAGCTTTGACCTTCAAGTTTTGTGTATTCAGAACTTGATACACAAGAATTTGTGTTAAGCCTCCCATAACTGGCCATAAAAGTAGTTCATGAGTGCTCAGGTTCATGAGAGCAGAGAGCACATCTGCCCAATTAAGTTCAACAGTGCCCCGTACATAGTGAATGATTCATTCATTCATTTTTGGCAGTTACACCTGCTGGTGCCAGACACACCTGTCTGGCCTGGCCTTCTTGCCCTCCTGGAAACCAGATTCTTGGTATATTCTGTCCTCCTAACCCTGGACTGGAATGAGACTCCAAGCCCTGTCCTGGGGCCATCATTAATATGACCGAGGCAGATATTAATATGCATTTACATGTTAGTAGAGATATTCAGCCTTTTCTAGAGATTGACTGATAAATTCACAGTCACATTCCATATGGGAAGTGATATAGATTCTGGGTTTAAAGAGAGTTCTCAGGAGTTGGTAGAATTATGAACTCCTAAACTCAAAGGTGTATGCTTAGGAATGGTTTCTTCCAGGTATTCTGGACAAGTGGATGCATTTCTTTGTACTTCCTCTGGAGTGAGGTTTGAGGGCAGCATGCTGATGTCTAAATGACATCCTCATAGGTGAACAGCCTGGGTGTGTCTGGCGTGGTGGTCGGTGAGCAGGGATTCTCCACCTGTAGGCGACATGAGGAAGCAGAACACTAGAGGTGGGCAGGGATCTGGGTCTACCATAGAAGACTCTGCATCCCAGACACTCACTATGTCCAGTGGTACCCAACCGGAACCTCCACCATGCTTGCTCCCAAATCCCTCCTAGTTTAGAGAAACTATTCTTTAGGATAAACCCATCTTTATCTTACTGAGTACTTAATGAACTGAACTTATAATAATTCATAGAAGCATGGCCAATGAATTTGACATGTCACTAAGCAAACTGCTTTCAAGATCCCCATATATCAGTTCTGTTTGAGGAAGGGAAAGGAGTTAGGAAGGTACAAGTGCTTCTCCCACACATCATCTGTGAAAGAATGAGCCTTAAGTCTTAGCACGTTGAACTAGGGGAGGGGTGCAAACCAGACGTAACATAGTTAGACCAAAGGGAAAATGGAAATCTCTCTCCTATGGTCTGCCCCATGGCTCAGGAGCAGGCTGGAGCCCCTCCCCCACCCCCAATCATCCTTTTCCTCTCAGGCACAGATGAAGCCAGGGCCTTTTTCCTCACTCATGACTTTAGTCAAAAGCCTTCTGATTATCATTCCCATCTAGAATTTCTCCCCTATTCAATTTGTTCCTGATTACCCTCATCTGGACTCCTAAAACAGAATTCTTTTCTAAATTCCCCATATTCTTGTGTAACCCCCTAAGCAAATGGGATGGGGGGACTACCAGAGGTACATTTTAATGCCAGTGAATATGAGATTCCTGAGGTCCAAGATTTTTAACCTAAACATGAACCAGGAGAAGGGATAGGACGATTTAGATGAAACTCAGCTCTAAATTTCTTACCATTTTTGGTATCTGCACAGTGGAATAAAGTGTATTTAGTGGATCTTCTGCTGGATTAATTTTCTATAAAAACAAACAACAAACAAAAGGAATCATCACCTAACCTGGGTCATGTAGAAAATACCAGAGATGGCACACACATAATCCTAGTGACTTGGGAGGCTGAGGCATGAGGTTCTCAAGCCTGAGGCCAGCCTCATCAAATTAGAGAAATAAAATAAAAATAAAATATAAAAGGGCCAGGAGTGCTAGAGGGCCTCTGGGTTCAATCCCTAGTACCACAAAAAATGAAAAAAGAAAGAAAAAGGAAATAAAGAAAGAAAAGATCAGAGAGAGACTCAGAGTCACAAGAGGGAGAAATGGAGGTGGGAGAAGATGAAAAGAGGGTTCTGGAAAATGGATGGCTCAGGGGAAGTGCTCTAACTGGTGACTGTGATTACAGTGATTATGAATAACGTTTTTAGGAAGTCACAGCATTGATTTAATTCGTGTTTTTGTGCTCTTAGGTTTGTTTATTGCATTATTCATCCTGTGAAATTAAAATGAATTCCAAAAATACATAAAATATGTAACTCTCATGAACTGTGACCCTCCTGGAGTCAGCCCACAGGAAAGAAGCATTTCTTGAGCAGCGCGTCTTCTGACAACATGATTCAAACATCACACCAAAGTCACACTTCACTACACACTGCCTTATGCAAGAGTAACCAGGCCCCTGGAGAGGACACTGTGAACTGTGGGGAGGAAGGGTGACTCATGTAACGTTCACAGTATGAATGTTACCGATGGATGAGAATCAGGTGCCCCAGGAGTGAATTCACTTCTACCCAGAAGCAAATTCATAAAGACTTGGGGGAGATGGAGTTGCCTTGGGTTTTAAGGACTATCCATCCTAATTCCTCCTCCCCCTTCCCATGTTAACCAAACCCATGAAAAAAAATCTTAAGTAAAACAAGGCGGGTCTCAGAGAGGTGAATCAGGTCCCAGGAAGAAAGGGAAAGTACTCACATGAGCATAGCAAATCGTTTCATACACTGTTTTCTCTCCGGAGTGGGGGCAGACATTAGGAATTTCCTGATGAATGTCCATTCTTTTTTCACCCTCAATGGGCTCTGAAACCAAGTTGAGAGTGAATTAAAGTCTGCCTCTCTGACCACTCCTCCTCCCTATTGGCCCACCATCCCACCTGGATGGCCCACTTAAAAGGACCAGCCATCTTACTAATTCAGGCTTTTGGGGACAGGGATTTTCAGTGTTAAAATTAGGAAAGTCCTAAAAAAAAAAATCAGGATGAATCAGTTGCCCTTGTAATTTCACTTCCTGATCTCTGGGCCGAGGTGACCAAAGTGGGAAGCAGAGAAGGTCAGAAAGGCTTTCAGAGTGCTCTAACAGGGAAGGGAGGTCTCAAAGTCTTTCGGGTCCCTTCCTGATATTGGACACAGACAGTATCAGTGGGAGCCCAAGAAGATAAATCAGCAGGGCTTGGGGACACAGAGAATGGGGTGCCACATGGAGAGAGACAGAGCCCAGCTTCTCCAGGAGAAATGTGTCTACACTGAAGTGGGGAGGAAAGAGAGATCTTGGAGTTGAACCAATGGAAAAGACTGGAACTGGTTTGGGGACTCTGACAAGGATGAAGCTAGGAAGGACTGGTTGGAGGGTATTGGTCCGTGGAGGCATCAAAGTTGGAGGCCACCACCTCCCAGGTCAGGGAGCAGAGTGAATAGTATGGAGCTTGTGCCAAGAGAAAGGCCACCTTTGTGACTCTCTCTGAAGGAAGGAGAGGAGTGGGCACTGGAGTGCGACTTTGTCCTAGGAGAGAAGGCAAGGACTGCAGCTCTTGCTCTCTCTCTCTCTCTCTCTAATCTGGAATGAAGAGTGTTGGCTGACCGTGTGCTTCTTGAAGGCAGACACGATGACCTCTTCAGCTCAGTATCGTGTTAGCACCAGGCCTCATATACAACTCGATACATGCTCGAGAAATAAATGAGGGATTCAGTGGATGAATGAGGATGAGGACAAAAATCATACGTGCCCTACCTTTTCTTCTCTTTATCCGCATAGTCAAATGAAACATCAGCACAAGGGTGCAGAGTGTGAAGACCACCAACAGAAGACACAGGAAGGTGAGGAGGAAATTGGAACCATCGCCATCAGCATCTTTAAAGAGAGAATGAGTAGAGGCCTGAAAAGGGAGAAAGTCAACTAGGAAATATGACCCAAAGTTTAGAGCATCTGCCACTTTCTTCCCAGCCTGATGACTTTCCACAGGCCACCGGTTTTTACACAGGGCCTGATCTTTGGGGACACGGAATTGAAGAAGGTATAGTTACCCAGACCAGAGGCTCCTAAAAAGAAGGGACAATCACCTCTACAGAGCTTCCAGGCAAGGATGGGACTTGAGGAATTACTGCTGATGGGGTTCCTGGCCGTGCAGATGAAGACCGTGTCCCTTTCTCCCAGACTCCAGGATATGGGAAGGATAGAGCCATCATAAGATTTGTTGCTTCTCTGCCCCAGGACATTCCAGCTGTATGTCACATTCTCTCCTCCCTGTTCCATGGAACATGTCAGATTAGTTACGCAGGTGCCATTCTTATTGTTCTGCAGACCCATGGTGACTTTAGGCTTTGACAGGCACTCTGTGAAAGACAAAGAACAACCTGGGATGGAAATTATGCTCACAGCTCTCCTTTATCTGAATTACCCTTGGATAACTTGAACCTCAGTCTCCCCAAGGAGCTTCAGAATGCAGAGAAAACAGCAATTCAGAGCAGAACCTAGGAAAGAGAACTACCTAGTTCTTGCCCACCACTATATAGCAATAACCACGGTGACAATAACTGCAATAATAAAAGAAATAATTATGTAACAATAATGCAGCCATCACTTATTGTCCTGAGATTTCCTTGAAGAGACAGTATAGGAGTGGCACTCCATTGTGCTCACTCTTCCACTCTCCAAGGATGAGCAGTTGGTTGATTGGTGAGGTCAAGTCTGCTGTCCATCATTTTCTTTCTCTACTTACAGATTTGAGCCATTAAAGATTGGGGACATGGAATTGAAGAAGGTATGTACTCTTTTATTCCCACCTACAGCTAGTTTGCCTATAGAATATACATCTTCTGTTTCCTTTGACCATGTCCCTATGGAAGACATATAGATTGAGGTGCATGGTCTTGGAGGCCCATTTCCTGGTCTCCCTGCTATTGAAGCTGGGTGAGTGAGGCAAGTACTCTTCTTGTAACTGAGTAATTATTTTGTAAATTCGACTTCCCTGGGTGGTGGGTTCCTAAGTCTAGATTTGGAAGGAGATATTTCTCCTATTGAGCTATACCAGAAACAGAGTGGATATTTTTATCTTCTTTTTATCAATCTTTTTTTGAGACAGGGTTTTCTATGTGGTATAGTCTGACCCCTAACTTCTGGGTTTAGGTAATCTTCCCGCCTCATCTTCATGAGTAGCTGAAATTGCAGGTATGCACCATTATACCTAGCCTTTATCTTCTTTTTGACCCTTATGTCTTTTTCAGAAATGCTTAGAATCTTTAGTGGAAGGGCTGGGATTGACACTTATATCCAATAATCTTCCTAAAGTAGATATTGCTTTCTTCCCAGATATGGAAAATAAGATTCTAACAAATTAAATAACTGGGATAAGCCCACGCACCTAGTAAATAGAGAAGCAAGCATTTGACTTAGATCTGTGTGGTTGCCACTTCTCATGTTGCCCAAGTACTACACCATACAGTCTCTTACAAAATATTTGAGTAAAGAGGTCAGCTTCATCCATGAATTCTCTCCCATATTCTTTTTTTTCCTTTATTTTACTTATTTATTTTTATGTGGTGCTGAGGATTGAACCCAGGGCTTTGCATGCGCTGGGCGAGCACTGTACCGCTGAGCCACAACCCCAGTCCTTCTCTCCCATATTCTTTCCAAGCATTTATCCATCCTTTTCTGGAACATTTGCTGTTGTCAGGGAGTGCACACTCTCCCCATGGCAGCTACCCACTATTAGGACTGATTCTGCTCACCGTAGACTTGTAGCCCATATTCCTGGGTGAAGGATGACTGAGAGGATAAGAAGTTCATCTCCACACGGTAGATCCCTGAGTCATTCTTCTTCAGTTGGAGGAGTGTCAGAGAATAGTTACTGCCTGAGAAGATCATCCTTTCCTCGTTATGACTTCGGGTCATAAGGATAGTGGCTTTTTTGTCTGCCACACCTGGCTTTATGATGGCAAGAGTGGTTGAATTGAAGATCCAGACAATACTGTCAATATTCTGTATTGAAGTTTCCACAGAAAAGGTCACAGATCCACCAAGGACACCAAACTTCTCCTTCAGGGCTCCAGAGGCTGCAGACACGGAAAATCAGAAAATAAGTCTGAGTCCCTGCCTTTGCCACCAATTACTCACCATCCCCTTTGGGTCCTGAGAAGATCCTGAAAAATTCTCATCTTACGCAAGCAGCCCCCAGGAAGCACTTCAGAATCTCAATCACATGAAATAATTGAGATCAGAACTCTCTGCCTGCAAAGGGTGACTGCAGATGACCCATCCATTCCTAGATACCTCCGGTTGTAAAGCCCAATGCCACCCTGGGCAGGTCCCTGTGAGTGGACAAGTGGAGAGGTTGCTGTCCTTCCTTTGGTACTGCCACATTGCCCCAGAGAGAGAGCTAAGTGCAAGCTGATAAAGTAAGCCTGCTGAACATGGGCAGTGGTTTGCAATCATGGATCAGGATGGTGAGAGCTAATGATAAAAATAGTGATAAAAATAGCTTATCTCAAACTATTAGGAATTACATTAGAGGGTTACTTCCACAAGAAATTTTTGTTTCACCAAAGTCTCGGTTCACCCCAGAGAACATGACTTCAAAAAGTCGCCCAACCTGGCCTCAAATTTGCCATCCTTCTGCCTCAGCCTCTGTGCCTTGATCCTATACATTTCTACATTTGTTGACTCTTCTTCCATAAGGAATCATTTTTATTAATGAGTATGTGACTCCAAGTGAGAAACAGTTAAGAATGACTGCTCAAGAAACTTTTAGAGAAGCCAAGCAGACGTTTTCAGTGAGGAGGTATGAGGACTCATTCATCTTCTACCTATTAAAATTTAAGGGAAAAAATCAAGAATGACTGGGGCAATGAGACTTTAGATCATGTCCAACAGTCTAAAAGCACTTAGTATGATCATATTTATCATTTTATTTGTTGTTTTTAGATACACATGACAGTAGGGTGTACTTTGACATGTTATACATACATGGAGTGCAACCCATTCTAATTAGGATCCCATCCTTGTGTTTGAACATGATGTGGGGTTACACTGGTCGTGCATTCATACATGAGCATAGGAAAGTTATGTCTGATTCATTCTACTGTCTTTCCTATTTTATTTACTCTTAAAACAACCCTTAAAAGAATTTTTTTATAAACCCTTCTTACAAATCAGGAACATGAGGCACAATGGATAACCCTTACAGCTACATACATGATAAGTGAAGTGCTTTGCTCCACAGGTGGAGACTTTAAAGCACATATTGTATAGACGAGAAAGCAACATAGCAGAGACCTTATACAAGGTTCCTAGAAATGAGCAATCTAAAATTAAATACTTATAGGTCTTCTCCTTAAAAGAACAAAACCCAAAGTTATGTTCTCTTCTGCCTCTTAACATAATTTACCAGGTTAAACTTTTTAATTTTATTTCTAAAATTTATTTTGATACTGGGCACTGAACTTAGAGATGCTCTGCTACTGAACCACATCCCCAGTCCTTTGTATTTTTATTTTACTTTTATTTTGAGTCCAGGTCTCACTAAATTGCCCAACCTGGCCTTAAATTTGCCGTCCTTTTGCCTCAGCCTCTGTAGTCATTGGGATTAGTTGCCAAAACACTCAGGGTCACTCCAGGGGAACTGGGCTGCATGAAATAACCACACGAGAGACAGAGATACCTTCTTCTTCGGGGGTCCTATGATGGCTCCTCTGACCTTAAGGATCCGCAGAAAGAGAGTGAGAGCCAGCACTTGTTGACCCTTTTATTGAGGAGAAGCCATTCAAATGAGACAAGGGGTCAGGTTTCAAGGGGTTGAGTCTAGCTTCATGATGTCTGCTGTCAGCAGGTTGACTGACACCTAGGGAGCCCACTCCCAAAGGCAGAGCAAGAGAAGGAGACACACAAAGGGTATTTTCCATGCAACATTCTATCCCAAACAGGGCAAGGAGTGATACCACAAAGGAACAGATGAGCGCAGCTCGATCCATGGGGCTGCAGGAAGGCACACCTACCCATGAAGACATATTCTGCCACTTTGAGGATCAGGCAGTGTCTAGGGCCACTATGAATGTGGCCAGATCACTACGAAAGTGACCGACAGAACCTTTACCTATCACGGGAAGGAAAATGCTGGTCGCTCAGTGTGACCCCCCCACAATTAGTTGGGTTCAGGTTAAAAATTTTAAAAGGAATTTCATTAATTCAGTCATGGAAAGCCAAAAGAAACGAAGGCAATATTAATAAGCCATATTGGCTGAATGTTTTCTCTGATATGTGGATGCTAATTCACAATAAGGGGGGTGGCTAGAGAAGAAGAGAGTTAATTTAGATTAGGTAGAGGGGAGTGAAGGGAAGAAAGGGGGTTGGGGGGTAGGAAAGATAGTAGAATGAATCAGACATTATTATCCTATGTACATGTATATGACCGGTGGGATTCTACATCATGTACAGCCAGAAGAATAAGAAATTATACTCCATTTGTATATGATGTATCAAAGTGAATTCTATAGTTATATCATGTATAACTAATTAGAATAACAACAACCAAAAGCCTGGGCTGGGCTGGTGGCACACACTTATAATCTCAGCAGCTGGGGAGGCTGAGGAAGGAGGAATGCTAGTTCAAAGCTAGCCTCAGCAACTTATTGAGGCCCTAAGCAACTCAATGAGATGCTGTCACTAAATAAAATACAAAAAAGGGCTGGAGATGTGGCTCAGTGGTTAAGTGCCCCTGAGAAAAAAATAAAAAATAAAAAAACCCACACTGTAGAATGCTGACAGCTCTGTCGATTGCCAGGGTTATGGCTTGCCTGGATCCTGTACATTTTTACATTGGTTGACCATTCCTCCATAAGGAATATTCCTAAATATTAATTATAATTTTTGATGGAGCTGGTATGAACATAAATAGAGCCTTGGGTGTTTGGACTGTTTGCTTAGTTCTGGTGGCAGCTGAGGTGGGGAGCGATCCAGCAGGAACCAATACTTGTGCTGTGACTAGCAGGGTGACATGGAGGGGCCACTGTGAGCAAGATTGTCTCCCTTCTCACAGACATGCATGACTTCCCTGGATCTCGCTCAGTGCCTTGCAGGGAAACCCACAGACAGATCTAGATCAGCTCTAACCTTCAGACTGCAGGATGTAACTTGGAATTTCTTGTAAAACACTCAAGGAAGAAATGGGGGCAATCTGGAAAAGTTCTCACTTGTGGTAGAAATGAGAATTTGTAACTTATGTGCTATATGCATTTAAATAAATGGATTAACATTTTTTTTAAATTAATATAATCCAAACTGTATTCATTACATTTATTATTGTTATGTCCATTTTCTTTTTCTTTCAAAAGAAATTTAAACTACTGCAGGCCTTGTGTGCCTACTTGGCCCTGAGAAACCCACCAAGCATTGAGTTTCTGTTGATTTAACAACTTACTCTCTTACCACAATATTTTCTACTACTCCTGCACTGACGTCACTCATGACAAGAAAAAAAGACAAATTTCTGTGTTGGACCTCTCGGTACTGACTTCTCCGGATTTCCAAAATCACTCCATTAGTGATTTATTTCCTTGGTCTCTATTAAAATTCAAATGTTCTGTAAGATTCTGCCTAATACCTGAAGCAATCCTGCAAAATTAGGCATTCTGGCCCATTTTGGGCTACTTCGAGTCCGTGGGCCAATCTGACCCATCACCTGTCTTTATAAAAAAAGTTTTACTGAAACATAGCCATGCGTCTTCATTTACATGTTGTCTATCTATGGCTGCTTTTGCAATTCTAAGGTTGAATTGAGTATTTGCAACAGAGATCCTATTGATGAAGATCACATCGCCCGCAAAGCTTAAAATATTTACTATCTTTTTTTTAATAGCAAAAGTTTGTTAATATCTGACTTCATAGGAATTCTGAGATATAAATAAATAGATAGATAGATAGATAGATAGATAGATAGATAGATAAATTGACAAATTAAGTAACTTATCCAAGGGACATAGCTAGTGGGTGATGCTTTGAGGACTTAACTCAATGTCACTTCAGTTCTGGGAACTTGGACTCAATCTGGATGTATCACTCAATTTGAAAGTACAGTGGCATTAGTGTCAACTTTAGTTCTTTTCCTTACTCCCTTTTCCCACGCTCCTACAGTGCTCAGGTGTCAAGTCCAAAGTCCTTGGACATCGTTGAGCCCCATTTCCCCTTCACGTTCTTTAGTGAGTAACCCCCATACACAAGCTGCTCTGCCAGAGCTCAGGGTGAGGAAATCAGATGTGGACCTACTCCTTCGATTCCAGGTCTAAGGTCTCTACCAACTTTTTGCTAGGTTTATGTCCAAAAGTACTAGTTTCTCTTCCTGGATAAATGTATTTTAGGAGAAAGTTCCTATTTTAAAAGCTTTTCTCCCTATACTTTACCAGTCAGCACATAATATATGTGTTGGTTCCCTGAAGATATATCAAATTATCCAGTCAAATAATCTGATTTTTTAAAAAGCTACTCTCCCTACTTCTTCAATATGAAGGCCAGGATGCTTTTAGACTGCCTTCTCTAATCATCTCAAGGCATATCAAAAAAGTTCTGGTAAATACTTAATTTTATTTTAAAATTTTTAATCAATTAATACATTTATTCTTTCACTTCTACAATAGAGATAGAAAGAGTAAATATTTTGAAGTCAAATAAATATTGGATATCCCTTGTCCCCAAGGGAGTTCCTGGATTTAGGCAATCTTTGAGCAATTTCATTTTCACATTAGATTTTTGGAGGGTATTTCAGGGGCATATTAGTCCATTTTTTGTTGCAATAACAAAATACTTGAAACTGGATACTTTATAAAGAAAAGAGGTTTATTTAGCTCATAGTTTTGGAGGCTGAAAGTCCAAGATTGTGTGGTATCATCTGTTAGGCCTCTGGTGAGGGATCCCTTGGCTGGATCACAACAAGGCAGAGAAATTGAAAGAAAACCAATCGTGTGCAGAAGAGGTCAATGTCGGGTGGCTTTGCTTGATAACAACATGTTCTTGAGAGAGTCGACTCTGGGACAGCAGCGTGAATTCCTTCTGAAGGTGTCACTCTCATGACCTAACACCTTCCACTAGGCTCACATCTTAAATGTTCCAACACCTCTGTGCCACCACATTGAGAACCAAGTTCCTAGCATATGAATTTCTCAGGGACAAACCACATTCAAACCACTTCAGTGGCAAAATTACAAGCACATGGGTTTTGTGTGTCAGCATGTATGCATGCACTTAAGCCATGAGCATTTCAATCTTCCACACACATGGTGCTATTTGCTCAGGGTTAATACCCCATGTGCAAATTGTGTGAGAGTATAAAAAATGCCTTCCAATGAATTGTCCCTTGGAGAGAAATTGGAGGATGACATAGGGCAAATTGCCAGCACTAACCAGATGGAGTATATTGTCCTATCATAAGTGTATTTTCAGGGTGGGAAGAAGAAGAATGAAAGAGGAAAATAACTTCCTGCCATTTCCTAAATGTGGGTTCAGAGAATAAGGGGCAGGGTTGGTGAGACCTAACCAGTTTTATCCATTCTTCTCAGCCGGCTGGAAAAAGGTATCCAGAAAAAAGGGACTAGAATTTCTGTTCAGCCGTCCAGGGCTTAACTGAAGCTCCCTTTGTATGGTGGCTTTGCTACCTGCGCTGTGTGGCTCTACAGTATTTTACCATATCAAAGCAGGTCACATTTGTCTCATTCAGTTATTTCTGCCTTGGACAAGAATTTATTTAGTTTCACATTTATGACAGGCATTTGTTTAGGAGCCACATACATAACTGGGGAGCAAGACAGTCATGATTCGGGCATCCATGGGGTTGGGAGATGGTCATTAAGTAAGTAAGCACTTGTATGTGTGATACAAAAGAAAGTAACAGGTATTATTAGGGTGCATAGTAGAGGGGCTTAATGTGACTCGTGGGATCAGAAAACTCTAGAGATGAGTAACTACCAATACTCACCTAAAGGTCCAGGAGGACTGGACCACTGTGAGGCTTGTCTATCGTCTCCAGAGGGTTGCTTTTCCAAAGTCAGAGCAGGGAATGCCGGAACTTGCCTCCTCTGCATCTATTCTATCCCTTTCTCATTTTCATAGCAGCTAAATGGTTTGGTAAGTCTGAGGGCACTCGGCTATAATGATAGCTCTTCTCTGGCACAGTGGGTGCCGCGTGACTGAGGGTTGTCATACCTCAGGAAAACCCAGGGCTTTTGCTCTAAGGTTAGGATGATGCTATCTATAATTCTGTGAAAAGATACGAAACCCAAGACTGCTACCCACTGCCACCAGCAGATGGTCAGCCAGGCCTCCTCCCTCTCCTGACCGTCAGTTCACTTCCTACTTCAGGCCCAGAGAGGAATCTCTGTCCATCTAAAATAAAACTTATTCAAAACCCATAAAGCCCAGTAAGAAGTTCTCCCACAAGGAAGTCTCTAACACTTATTTTTACACCCATGCCCCGAAAATTCACCACTTATGTTACTTCATTTTTAAAATTCTCCAGAAACAAATATATCCTTGGGTGGTAACTGGAGAAAGCCTTTTGATGTGTATTAGCCCATGGCCGGTCTATTAGCACTAGGTTCCGGATGGAGTCCTGGGGTCCTTCCCAGAGACATGTGATGAAGTCATGGGGTCCTCCTCAGAGAGTCATGGCATGATGATGTTATAGATGATGGAGTCACGGGGTTTTACCAGAAAGTGGCATAGGAATGGCCTAACTCCCCCCGCCCCATGTGCAGAAGTGTTAAAAAGGGTTCTAGTCTTACTGGCAGTCAGGAGCCCTGGATTCCATTCTGGTTCCCCCAATAATCACAGACCCAGCAATGAACACTAGGTGCCACTCTGTAAATTGTTAGTAACTTTAACAGCATTGTTTTTCTTTCTTTCTTCTTTATTTTTGGTGTCAGGGATTAAACCCAAGGGTGCTTAACCACTGAGCATATCTCCAGTCCTTTTTATTTTTTTATTTTGAGACAGGGTCTTTCTAAGTTGCTTAGGACCTCACTAAGTTTTACTGAGTCTGGTTTTGAACTTGCAATCCTCCTGCCTCAGCCTCCCCAGCTGTTGGGATTAAGGGCCTGTGTCAAATGCCTGGCTGGCATTATCTTTCTTGATCTTCAGAACAACTCCATGAGAGAAAAGTTAAACTCTATAAGATTAGAATACTGAGACTGAGTGACTTTCTTAAGGTCACAAAGAAGTGGGATTGTTCCTCTGAGAGGCTTGTTTACCACTTACCACTTTGAGTTTCAGTTTTTGGAATATTTATTGGAGAAAAAAAATAACACCTTAATTTACCAGCAGTTTGAGGAAGTCAAAGTGTAAATATGGATCTGAAAGCACTTGAGAAGTGCAGATACCTGACACATGAGGGGAGGGGGAATGAAGGGTGAGGGGGCTGTTGAAACCGGTGTTGAGGCAGCTTCTTATTTTGGGGTCTTACTTCTGCAAGTATGGCTAAAAGTGAAAAAAGGAGATCTCCCCAAACATCTCTGCATGGCTTCTGAGCAAAGTGAGCCAGAAGGCTAAGAAAGCAGGAAACACCCCCCGGCCAACCTGCTTTTGGAGGTACAGCGAGCTGGGGCAGGGGACCCAGGCTCAGATGTTTTGGGCATCAGGAGCATTGGCTCTGAGATGATCTCCTTAACGGGAAGAAATAAGATCTCCTCCCCCCTTGTCACCCCTCCCCCCTTCCTCTTTGTTGTCACTTCCTTTTTTTTTTGGTCTTGTTCTCCAAAGGTTTAAGAATTGAGTGGAGGAAGGAGCCAGATGACAAGGAAGGCACATCGTCATGCAGCCAGAACAAGAGGTGGCGGTACAGAAGGAAGGCATAAGGGGGAGGGAGTATAGACCCGCTCCCTGCTTGCCAGCCCAGTGTCCGAGCACCTCTCCAAGCGCTTGGTGCCTCGTTGTGGAACGCCATGAAGGCACTGGCATGTTGTGACTCCTTCCTTAAGGAGACCAAGAACCAGAATATCTCAGAGCGGGGAGGAGCCTTAGGGACTGCTTCGTCCAATTCCGTTTCATGGATGAGGAGGCTGGTGATCAGCAGGTTAGGGTGATATGCCCCAAGTCAGTGGAAGGCTAGGAACCAAGTCTCTGAAGGTAAGATTTCCCCAACTGCTGCCCTGGGAGTCTGAGTAATGCAGTATAATTCCCAGAAGCTTAGGGCTGGGGAGTCTAAAGGCTAAAGTGTAGGGACAGAGGATGATGGGGTGGAGGCTATGGCGTGGATGCCCCCCATCAGAGAGGCTTCAACTCTATACCTACAGTTATTTATATGTTTGTTTCTGTGTAAGGTTTTATTGTTTAAGAGGAAATCACCCCTTAAAAAAATAAAACAAAATGGTTTAGACTGCTCTTTAGCCAACTTCTGCTTTCTTAATGTCCCTTGGAAAGATCATGTGAAACATGGAGAATAGAAACTTGCAGATCTCTCAATTTGATACATCTATTCCCTGACTATCCGACCCTAATATTCCCATCCAAGCTCCTCACCACTCTGCCCCCCATTCGTTTCCTACCACATCATCCTTATTTCTTCTGATTCTTTGCAACACCCCCTGCAATATCCTCTCACCTCTTTTCATGTTTTTCCATTTATAAATTGCCTCCTTAAAACTACTGGGTCATTTAATCATCATAAAAGTGAGGGGGATAGGTTACTGTACCCATTTTTCAGATGAGAATACTAAAAAAGTAAGAGCTACTCCTTGGGCCCTCTGAGCTTGGCCAGAGTGATTTCCTGTTGGCATAGCCACCTCCTTAAAACACTGCTACCTGTTCTCCTTGGGCCTTTCCTTTCCCTGACTTGGACTTGTGTGCCTGGAGAGGAAAGAAATCCCACCTGAGTCTCTCTGCGTGGAAGAATCAGCTCAAATACATAGTAACTGAGCCCCTCTTAAGGAAACCAAGAACCAGCTTCAGTGGTATTAACTTCAGTGTTAGGCAGTTTAGTATGATGAAAAGAGCACTAGTCTTGAAAATTCAATCTTTGCCCTGACTCTTAATAGCTGTGTAGCTATTTTCAAGTTTCCCATGAAACTTGACTTCTATGAGCCCAAATTTTCTTACTTGTAAAACAGGTATTATAATATGTGTCTTACAGATTTCTGAGGAAATTGTATGAAAAACACCTTGGATGTTTAAGTAGTGATTATGGTCACTTTGCATTTGACATCTCATTTAAAAGGTTACAATCATTTTGCAAGTTAGATTTCATTGTCTGTTATGCACTTGAGAAGAATATAGGGTGAGTAACTTGCCCCCAATAATAGAGCTACTAAGTCCATCCCAGGATGCCCTTGTCAAATGCCCAGCTGTCTAGGGTCAGCCTCCTTCCACTGACCTGCCCACTGGACAATCTCTGGGATGATATCTGACACCTTTCAACTTTGGGGGACATAGCACAAGACTGCCCACTGTCTCCTGCAGCAGGCAGAGGGGAAGACCCCATGACAGATTTTCACACTTGCACCTTGCTGTGCACAGTTCAGGTTTCAGGTGGACACCTGGGGCTTTTCAGAGCCCTGGTATTCCTTCCCCCATCTCAAATGCTTCAAGTTCCATTTCTGGTCACCATTTCCGTTCAGGGAGTGATTTTTAGAGTAAACCTATTCCAGATCACCCGCTTAGGACCAGGTGCTTCCTAACAGTACAAAGTTCTGATGAATTCAAGGAGGGGTAAGAGTCTGTAGATGTGGACCACTTAGTGGCCAGCTAATGGGGAGGAAAGGATTGGAGGTGCTGTCTGTGGGGTTTGGGGCAAGTTAGTTCAGGTGGGCTTGGGGTACGCATAATGAACAGCTGTACTAAGTGCTCAGAAGGAAAGCACTTAGTATAGTGGTACCCCATGAATCTGATGACAGGAGAAAGATTTCTCACTTGCGAGACTCCTAATTAGAACAATAAAGATACTAAAATCTTCCCAGACTATCATACCTGTGAATAAAAATCCTCAGTCCTCCATGTGATTAGAGTGTCTACAGTAAGAGTTGTTTTTCTAAGGACAGATGGATTGGATTGCGTGGGTTAAGAGAGAAAATCCAACTGGTTCTTCCATTGATATCATTGTTATGCATATATCATTAAAATACAGTTAAAATACATTTCAGCAAATATGCTTATAAATAAATATACGATTGCATCATTGCACTTTTCAAGTTGCCCTCTCAGGGAGTGAGGACTAGACAATCAAGACTGAATTCATACAGAATCTGTAGTAGAACATAGGTCTTCTTATACCCAGAACCACTTCTTTTAGTCCTTTCTTTTCTGGCACAGTCAAAAGGTAGTTGGTCCCCAAGACCATTCCTTTTCCTTTCCCTATTGTCCCTTCCTACCCAGAGACCAGAGGCTGGTTAAAAAAAAAAGCAATGCTAGATAAGGAGGCAAAACCTTCTAATTTGAGCCAGAGCTTCAAAGTGGAACCAGGAACCTGAAGCTACATCTCAGGATAAGGAAGATAGTCGGGAGAATGGACTCACCTGTGAGCTGGCTGAGGAGACAGATGAAGAGGAGGCATGCTGGTGAACCTGCCATATGGTTCTCTGAGTGTTAGTCACTAAAGTGAAACCTCTTCTCTCTAACAGGGCTCACCTCTTTTAAATATAGGAGGTCACATCCTATTGACAGGATGACTCATCTCAGCAAATAGTAAAGGAGGGAAAAGTAACCTGAACCGAAAGATGGTGAAACTATCTTCTGTTGCAGATCATAAATCATAGATTTAGATTAGGAATTGATCAAAACCATAAGGCCTGCCCCCCCCTTTTTTGCTGTACAGTACCACCTTTCAGAGCTTAAAAACAAGAAATAGAAGGTTAGATGGGGAACAAATAGGTGGCACTCTAGAAAATAATATTTATTGGGCTTTCCTAAGTGCCTGGAGCTATGCTGAAAGTCCTTGCTTTCTTTTACTCATTCCTTCTAAGAACTTGATGAGCTACTTCTGTAGATCCTATTTTACACACAAGAAACCAAAGGCTTAGGGTATATTACAGCAAAATCAAAGGTTCTTTTAAGCAAAAGAGACCATTGTGAAAATAAAAAGGCAAATCAGAGTGGGAGAAGATATTTGCCATGCGTACATCCCATGAGCATCTTATAATATCTAAAGATATCCTACAAGCCAATAAAATTTAGGCAGACAATTTAATGTTCAGTAAGATGGTAGATCCAATTACAACAACATCAATAATCCCACTAAGTGTAAATAGACAGACTATTCCCATTAAAAGGCAAAGATTGTTACAGTGGATTTTAAAAAAACCAAACTCAAACTATTCTGTCTGTAAGAGGCACACTTTAAAGATACAGATGGGTCAAAAGTAAACAGATGAATAAAGATATACCATTCAGCCACTAGACTTAAAAAGGTTGGAGTGGATCTATTAATATGAGATAAAATTAATTTTAGAGAAAAGAGAAAAAGAGGGATATTTTTAATGGCAAAGGGATCAATTTGTTAGGACGACATGATAATTATAAGAATACTGCTTGTGATGCTTTGATATAATAATAAGAAATATACATATATTTGTTGCAATATGTGATGGAATCAGGGACACTACAGGTCAATTGGGCAGGCAGTGAAGAAACCACACACACACACACAATTCCTTTTCCAGGGTTCAAGATGGCTCTGCAGCCTCAAGAATCAAGCTCCCATGCTGGAGGGCAAGGAGAGCCAGGTAGGCAAGAGGCAAGAGAGAGAGGGCATGCCCTGAATCCTGGTATTTATTGGGGAAAAAGACATTTGATAGAAAGTGCTGGGTTTTTGTTCTTGCGACTAAAAGGCTCAGGGGTCACTCCAGTTAAACTGGGCTAACTGGGCTGCACAAAATAACCACACAAGAGACACAATACCTTTTTCTTTGGGGGTCACTGTGACAGCTCCTCTGACCTTAAGGGTCTGCAGAAAGAGAGAGAGCGAGAGCACGCACTGACCCCTTTTATTGGAGAGAAGCTATTCAAATGAGGCAAGGGGTCAGGTTTCAGGGGGCTGAGTATCTTCATGATGTCCACTGTCAGCAGGTTGACTGACACCTGGGTAGTCCATACCCAAGGGCACAGTAAGAGAAGGGGACACACACAAGGCACTTCCATGGAAGATTCTATCCTAAACAGGGCAAGGGGTTATATTACAAAGGAACAGGTGAGCATAGTTTCACCCATGGGGCTGTAGCAAGACACACCCATGCACGAGACACCGACCCTCGCACCCAAGAAGGGTGCCACATTTCTGTGACTGAGAGCCTCAGCAACCAGCCAGGGAGTGTAACTCAGTCACGTGTAAGGTTGGCCTCCCACAAGAAAGTACCACCCAAATAATGCAGGGGTTGGGTTTCAGAGAGAGGAGTGTTGCTTGATGATGCGTTGTGGTCAGCAGTTTGACTGATATCTTGGAAAGTCACACCCATCACAGGCGCTGTGTGGGATCACAGGCAGAGTGAGAGAAACAGCACAGTTTACTTTTCCCTCCTTTGCTAGTTACTGAGATGAGTCATTCTGACTGTCATCAGGCAGCAATGTCAGTCCAGTTCCCTCCTATGCTCAAATGCACATAGCTGGCACATGGATGGCTTGCGACATATATTTATCCTAAAAACCTTTTAATTGCTTGGATGTTAGGAGAACGTTTTGTTTTAAGGAGATAACCCTTGATGGGCTCTGAGCTAGTTTTGGAATGGGAGCTATACACTATCCCCTTTCAGAAACTCAAAAACAGGTAATAGTAGGTTAGATGGAGGACCAGAAAGAATAGTCCATAATCAGAAAATTGGAACTTTCAGCACTATCTCCCGTTCTCTGAGAGGGAAGAGAGGCTGGAGATTGAATTAATCATTGATCATGCTTATTGATGAAGTATACAAAAACATCCCCCAACTATGGGGTACAGAGAGCTTTGGAATGGTGAACACATCCATGTGCTGGGAGGGTAGCACACCTTACTTCCACATGGACAGAAATCTTGTACTTAGGAACCTTCTGGACCCTTTCCTCAGTTCTTCTTCATCGGGTTACTCATCTGTATTCTTTGTAACATCGTTTACAATAAATTGGTAAATGTTTCCCTGAGTTCTGTGGAACCCCCAGGAGTTCCC